TCTTTGTCGCCATCTCTGTTTGAAAACCTGGAATTGCAGCTGTGTGTGGAATTATCTAGCTTGCGTGAGTTGAGTCAGCACGGCTCCAGCGCGGATGAATCTAATGTTCTGAAGAGTGTGTGGCAGTCAGTCACAGCACCACTGTGGATATTTACTGTACTTTGCAATCTCAGATTCTAGCCTACGTCTTGGAATATGACCCAAATAAGAATTTTCACCGGATATTGTCATTTGAACAAGTAACAAGTCTGCCACGTTTGTTCTGACCAACTGAGGAAAAAAGCATTACAATAAATCTCGCTACCAATGGTGATTAAATCTAAAGATCGGTTAGCTCATGTCACATCAAACCATTCAAATTATTATTGTTATACTTTATTCTCAAATTGTTAATGTTAACAACATCAGCATTACATGAATATGTGAATATAGTGTGTATTTGCGTGTCGATTTCAATTTCTGTACAGTCTAAAATTGTCATACCATTCGAATTTCATATTAAGAAATTCTTTTAACCTAAAAAGCAAACTATGCTCCCTTCGAACTGGTTGTCTTTAAAACACAAATCTTTGTAATCCCAGGCTATCTGTAATCAGAAGCACATTTAAAACGGAAATATAATTTAATTCACATGTGTTTCATAATGTTAACAACATCAGCATTACATGACTATGTGAATATAGTGTGTATTTGCGTGTCGATTTCAATTTCTGTACAGTCTAAACTGTAATTGTCATACCATTCGAATTTCATATTAAGAAATTCTTTTAACCTAAAAAGCAAACTATGCTCCCTTCGAACTGGTTGTCTTTAAAACACAAATCTTTGTAATCCCAGGCTATCTGTAATCAGAAGCACATTTAAAACGGAAATATAATTTAATTCACATGTGTTTCATAATTTAATTCACATGTGTTTCTTGTCCTTTCTGGATTACAATCAGCCATCAAAATGATACATTTAATTATTCTGGCTGCTGTGAGAAAAGGCTGTAAACGATCTGCCACCTGCAGGATCCTCACATGCGATAACCTAGTAGCCGGGACAACTTCTCTGTGTTTACAGACGTGATGTAATGACGCAGCGCCATGCTCGAATTACCCGCTAAAACCTACCCCTACCACTCAAATTAGAAAACATTATTATAAGCTTACCAATTGTGAATCGGGCAAAAGTAAGGCGATAGTTTTGAACACTGGCTGGTTATGTACTTGCTCAAATATTGATTTCGGATCACTTTTAACCAAAAAAAAGTTACAGACTGCAGGTTTAAACTTGCTTACACTACCATCTTAAATAATATATCTGACGAAAAAGTATTTTGTATTACATTAAAATAAAGACTAATTTAATTAGCCTATTCTACTTATGTTTGTATGTGACTGGTTGTCTTTAAAACACAAATCTTTGTAATCCCAGGCTATCTGTAATCAGAAGCACATTTAAAACGGAAATATAATTTAATTCACATGTGTTTCATAATTTAATTCACATGTGTTTCTTGTCCTTTCTGGATTACAATCAGCCATCAAAATGATACATTTAATTATTCTGGCTGCTGTGAGAAAAGGCTGTAAACGATCTGCCACCTGCAGGATCCTGACATGCGATAACCTAGTAGCCGGGACAACTTCTCTGACATGCGATAACCTAGTAGCCGGGACAACTTCTCTATGTTTACAGACGTGATGTAATGACGCAGCGCCATGCTCAAATTACCCGCTAAAACCTACCCCTACCACTCAAATTAGAAAACATTATTATAAGCTTACCAATTGTGAATCGGGCAAAAGTAAGGCGATAGTTTTGAACACTGGCTGGTTATGTACTTGCTCAAATATTGATTTCGGATCACTTTTAACCAAAAAAAAGTTACAGACTGCAGGTTTAAACTTGCTTACACTACCATCTTAAATAATATATCTGACGAAAAAGTATTTTGTATTACATTAAAATAAAGACTAATTTAATTAGCCTATTCTACTTATGTTTGTATGTGAGGTCAAAATTAACCACAACTTTGCTTTAAAATGCGTCGCAAGATCTCCTAACTAAAGATCACATGATCACAAACGGAAATCACTTCCGTGAAGTGACCATCACATGTACCCTTCGGTAACGGACTTCTGGAAGGGCCCTTCACAAATGAATTCAGTTGTTCACTTTCGTTTGGAGGATCATTTTTAACCAAAAAAAAGTTACGGACTGCAGGTTTAAACTTGCTTACACTACCATCTTAAATAATATATCTGACGAAAAAATATTTTGTATTACATTAAAATAAAGACTAATTTAATTAGCCTATTCTACTTATGTTTGTATGTGAAGTCAAAATCAACCACAACTTTGCTTTAAAATGCGTTGCAAGATTTCCTAACTAAAGATCACATGATCACAAACGGAAATCACTTCCGTGAAGTG